AATAATTATATAATAAATTTAAAAAAATTAAACTTTATATATTTAAAAATTATGAATAAACACCCTGACATTTAATAATAACAATAATAACAGTAATGTAAACAAAAGTGCTCTCAGTTCAAAAACCCCAAAGTCTGAACACTTTAAACTGATAGGGTGTCTTGTACAATATTTGCCAGAATTAATACTTCAAGCACTTTTTCTCATTTCCATGTAATTTCTAAATATGTTCAACAACACTTGGAAGGTATATCCTCCATTTTATTTTCTTGCTAATATATCTATTCGTTTTCTGTATGTTTTTCTTTTGTTGCTTCTAGAAATATTGTATGCTCATGAATTGCTATTTATGGAGATGGTATGCTGCTCGTGTCTTCAACTTCATGACTAGTTGAAGGCCTTCCCTGCTCTCCGAAGAAAACAGAGCTCAAATCTGTCTGGTTCGAGTTTGATGCACAATGCAGGCAGTTGGTGTTTGGCGAGGCTTCGACAGCAACCATCATTTCTATGTTATCAATTCGCCTTCCTTCAGTTAATTCACTTTGCCTAAAGGTATGAGAGCTCGGATCTTTCTGGTCAAAGTTTCTTAACACTTGAAGGAATCGTTTCCAGGCCGAAACTTCAGACCCACACAAGACATCCCTTTGCTTGTATAGAAAATCGGCCACAAAGATGGTGAGAGCTAATGCCGCAGCAACCCCAGCAATGAGAAAGAGGCCCCAGAAGCTCCCAAGACCCAGCCTATTAGAAGAGACCAAAGTACTGGAATCAGTACAATGTTTCTTGAACCATTTATATTCAATTTCCCTCATTTTATCACTTTCAGTGACATTCAAGATTGCCCTCGAAACATCTGCTACAAGAGGAGAACCTTTTGGGAAAACCTAAAAATAAAAATTTCACACACCCAAAGAAGAACAAAAAAAAAAACAAAAAAACAAAAAAATCAGAATGATATGTGGATAAGAGAACAGGAGAGCTATTGAAGAACTCACAAACTCACAAATCCAAAGCCACCAGTATTGATAGTCGGTCCAGCCGTGGTGTATTTCATGCAGTACTTTTCAAGCAGCAGATTCACATAAGGTGTTTCCCCGAATGCGGCTGCGATTCCACCGTTGGCGCTTCCCCTGTTAAAAAGTTCATCAAGAACGTCAGACGTATCATATGTCTTCACATTGGCCGAATTGAAATTCAACTGTTGGATGAATTCTCGGATGTAGGAGCCATTTTTGTACGCAACATTTTCCCCAGTCTTCAATAGTTCATTCACATCCGTTACGGTCGGTTGCAGCTGTTTAACCGTTAGAAGAGAAGTTAAACTGGCCGTGTAGCTCTGTGTAAGGATGAGTACCACAAAGCACCATATTATCACCACAAACCTCGACAAATTGCTCACCACTGTCTCCCCTGAAAACAAAATTCAGAATTAGCTTTCATCTTTTAATTATTGAGCTTTGAGCTAGAAACAAAACAAAACTCGAAAGAGCTTTGAACCTCAAGCCCAAACTCTCTCTCAAGTGAACTTTGCACTATATTGGAAACCAAAGAGCTTGAATTTTCTATTAGATCATTACGATGGGCAAAGACCAAGATTGCGAAAGAGAACCAAAGGCTTGTTCCGACTTGATGTGAAGGCGGTCCACGAAAATCTTCACTGATTCTGTGCTCAAGGACCCAGATGACAAACCCAATGAAGACAAAGAAGCAACTGCTTGTGACCCAGAGATCACCTGTCAAAGGCTCCAAGAACACCAAGGCATTCTTGTTTGAGTTGTTTTTAATTGGAACCACCATCACCACATCAGACTCTATATAAGGCAACGTGAAGTCGACATACAGTGACCTATTTGCAATGATAGAAATGTCTCCAACCGCTGCATCATAATTCTGTTCACTATAGTTACTACCAGATAAGAGCAAAATATCATCCTTTTTTTCAGTCATACTAGATACCATTAGTACAATAATAGATAATATAATATATATTTAGAAAAATCTAAAATGATATACCAGCAAGAGCCAAAGTAATACTGACCGTGTATATATATATATGGATAAATTGTGAAAGTTTTATTTATCCAAGAACTGAGGCTTTATCGATGCTTTTTACATCATTTTACACATAATATCTTATTTTAAAAAGCAAATTATAATTTTTATTAATTTTAATTAATTTCATTATTTTTTTAAATAGTTAAAGACAAAACAAAAAACCTACCACTACCGCATAACACAGCAGTGACAAACAAACCTTAGTAGTACATCAGAGCAGCAAAAGTGATACTACAGAGAACAAAACTGTCAAGAACAAGTTGGAGTATTTAATGACAATTTGTTAACTAACTGGGTTAGCTACTTACCCCATAAAAGACTTGATCGATCAGATCATTGTACGTTCCAGCGGCCTCTCCGTTGGTTTTTGCAAAGGCATAGAAATCGTAGTGGACGGAATATGGCATTGCTTTCATGACGGCTTCGAAGACATCTATGGAGTAGCCTGTGGGGTTGACTCTTGAATTGGGACTTGAACCCGGTGGTACACTAACGAATTCTTTAAATTCTTTTCTTACTGGAACACCAATCTTCAACCTCTTACATTTGGGAACGGAGTGGGAATCTCCTGGCCACATGATAGTTCCCAGATTTGCCCTTGAAGTAGAATATTCCGTTAAGTTTGTAAAATTCAGTTTCTTAACCAGTCCATATTTGGACGTCCAAAACCCAATCGCCTTTTCACCATTTCCAATCACATTAACAATCTGGAAAACAGAGGGTTCAAGTTGCCCATTAACAAACTCAAATTTTCCACTGAGGCCTTTAAATCTCGTACTTGACAAAGCTTGGATGAGTTTGGGACCATTTTGAGAAATCCCCAAAGATTCAAGATCTGTTCTTGCATTTCCAACACCTTTTGACTCTTCAAAGCTGAAATTTGCATTGTTAAGCTTCTCAACCGCCATGGCTAGTGCAAATGCAGCATCATAAGACCATAACCCAAAAATATCCAATTCAGCGTTGACCATGCTTGGATTATTTTGCAGAAATTTCCTTTTCCATCGAACCTTAAAACTTTCCAACTCTTTTGATTTTGGAACATAATGCCTGACACCTATTACACCTTGCAATGATTCCATATCAGAATGATCCATCCAACTCCACAGATTAGTCATCCCGTTAGTCATTATCCAAACATACCCTTCACTAATCAATCCAACCTCTTTTGCTATATCAAAAAGCCTAGACCCAAGAATTGGGGTCATATGAACTATAAAGACTCTAGTCTGCTTAGTCGTTAACTTGTGTAGCTCTTCTTCAATTTCTTGATCAGTAGCCTCCGGAGAAATAACGCTCCGATAGGGAATTCGGACATTGATCTCTTCCAAGGCATCAAACAAATATGGTATGACTCCTTCTCCAAACTCGTTGTCTACATAAATGGGCACGGCTTCTCTCCATCCAAAGGCTTGGATTATGGCACTAATAGCTTTGACTTGAGACGAGTCATTATGTGTTGCCCGGAAAAAATATGGGCGCCGGATGGAGGAAAGGGAAGGACTGGTTGCGGTGAAAGAGATGATGGGTACTTGAGCTTTGTTTCCGACGTCTATGATGAAGATTGCCTGCATTGAATCCTCAGGCCCTATTATTGCTTGTACCTGTGCATTCTTGATCAAGTCCAGAGCTGCCCATAAAGGTATAAATCATATCAGACTCTCTTTAAAAGGAAGTTACACTAAAACAAATTTGTTTTTTTTAAATCTGAACTACTCCTACCTCGAAAATGACTGGAAATGGAAGAAGTTACGTTAAAGAGATTGTCAAACACATAAAAATGAGCATTGATAAATCATTAACATAATTTCAGTTTCAAATCATTGAGAGAAAATAGGGAACAAATTAAGGGGAAAATAAGTAATAAAGAGGGGATAAAGTAAGTACTGGCAGCAGCCGCCCCAACAACATCTCCCTTGGAATCCCTTGTGTTTAAAACCAGCCTGGTTCTGTAGTCACGATGATTGGAATAAAAGTCGGAGAGGGCCATGTTAAAGCAGCTCAACCCTAACTTTCCCGTCCACCCATCGAAGTCAAGAACCATACCCACGTTCACTGGAATTGTTGTGGCGTCCGTATTATTTTGAGCTACAGCTACCTCCACCTTCACCAAGAACAATCTGAGTAAGACAATGAATAGGCAGGAAAAACTGATTGAGGGAGTAATAGGAACAAGCCCCATTTTTGCTTTTCTGAAGTGTGGTTCTCTGACTAAAAGAGGTACCATTATTTATTGACTGACGATGAGAGTCACCACGTTTGAAAAGTCGGTGCCACGCGAGAAGAACATTAATAAATAAAGGTTAAATGCTTGATTTGGTCCCTTAACTTTAAGAAATGAACATTTTTGGTCCCTTAACAATTTTTTGCACTTTTTTGATCCCTCAACTATACGAAATGCACTCCGTTAGTCCTTCTGTTAATTTTGATCGTT